CACCAGTGTGGTTTAGGATGTACGAACCACGGATCGACGAAAAGGTCGAGCGAGCGAGTGGGTCCGTGTATGATCCATTTCGTACTTGCGCAGCTAGCTGCGTCTGCCCGCATTTATTCTCCCCCACAGTTACGTCCTGCGCACGACAGTTGTACAGATTCAGTCTGGCTATCGTGATGGTACGGTCTGACATTTCACCAGAGCAGCACAATGCCGCATTGTTCTCGTGTCGGAAAGCGGGCGATAGCTTTGAGGGGCTTGAAGAGCACAACAATTTCACCGCTTGCGCGCTCAGTAATCATCATCGTCATCTTCATCTTCATCCTGATCCCACGCCATCTCATCTTCCGAATCGACGTCTCTATCTGGATAATCATTTCTGCGTGTTGTGATGGTTGTGAAACAGCTCAAAGGTCAGCCTCGAATATCAAACACGATGAAGAAGTTTCCAACACGCTTTCTCACTGCCTCTCTCGCCCCTTGCCCGAACCTGACTCACCGATAAAATCCCTCATCATTGCTATCCTCATCCTCTCCCTCGTCCCACTCGTCCGCACTATCCGGTCCGCCCGTCTTGACGTCGATCAGATCATACTCTTCCTCATCGTCGGGCCATTCCATCAGATCTTCCGCTCTCAGCCCTTCCAGCGTAGCCACCTGACTCTTATCACTCTGCTTGAACAGATGCTGCATCTCCGGCTGAGCAGGCTGCCCAGTGACGATGGGCGCCGGGGACGAAGCGTGACCAGCAACGGGCGCAGGACTCAGTCCTGCTCGGCTGTTTCCATCACCCGCGTTGCTCAAATCAGCCCATCGCTCGCTCCCGCTCATGCTGGCCGATTCTCTGTAGTACACATCGTAAACGTAGTCATCCTCATCCGAATCAATGTCGCTTTGAGAATCCTCTGCATCGCTAGCCGAATTGGATTGAACAGACTTCTCGTTCGGCATGCTCTGTACACCTTCCGAATGTGTAAGACGAGAGATGCTGGATTCAAGATCTGAAGGCGGTTCCAGGTGTGTTTCTGATCGAGTCAAAGAGGCGACGAACGGCAACGCGACAGAGTAGAGGCGCTGGAGGTCAGCGTCTTTCGGGATGCACGATGTTCGTAACTGCGTCGATACGCTGGCTACGCACCTTTCAAATAATCTCCGAGCAGACCAGCAAACTTGCGGTCCAGCGCATCCATTTCCGCATCCACATCGGCCCTCTCCCGCGTTTTCTGGACCGTTCCCGACCTGCTCTCGCCTTGCAACTGTCTTGGGGCATGCAATCCGCTCGCCTGCTTGGCGCGCCTCTTTTCTCGACGCTGTTTGCGCGTGAGACTAGAACTCTGGCTGTCAATCGCGATCGCATCGATGATCCGCATTCTGCGCAGAGCAGTAAGCTGACCCGGCCTGCACCAGATCAACGGACGGCGCGTCGGTGGGCAGAGCGGGCGCGGTCAGAGCCATTGGGAGCCAGTCTGACGTGTGGTCCTTGGCCACTCACCCTCTTGTCCTGCTCCTCACACTTTGTCTGCTGGAGCTTCTAGGAACCGAATTTGACGCTTGCGCAGACGAGGCAACATCCTCGACGGGCATGTCCGCATCGTTCTGCAAGAGATTGTTCCGGCCTTTTTGCGCAGTGGTCTTCGACAGTGAGGGGCTCTGATCAGGGGAGATGGCCTCTGCATGCGCACGCTTACTACCGCGTCTTACAGCCTCTGCTTCATTGCGTATGACCTGGAAGCGCAAAGGCGAGCCCGCGGCGGGTTTCGAGGTTGACTTGGTAGAGATGGATGCTGCAGCTCGAGGAGCTGGGGATGCTGAACTAGATGCGCTTCCGGATGCGTCGACAGAGCTCTGCCGCTGTGTCGGGGAGGATGCTCGAGGAGAAAAGTTGGCCAGACGGCGAGACAGGTCCTTGGCCAGTGCGGGATCGGAAAAGTGTCGCAAGTCCACCGTCTCGGCTAGTCTGAACGCTGTGAGAGACCGAGGTGGATGGATGTCAGTGAGGCTGCGGGGGGCAGGACAAGCGCATGTATGCACAGATAACAGTCGTCCACTGCTCTTGAAACTTACTCTGGGACCGCTTGCTACTTTGCGTTATTGGCGTAGGCAGCGTAGAAGCAGAAGTGCCATTAGAGAATGTCCTCTTGAGTCCACTCTGTGTTTCCGATCCAGCGTGCAACTTGTCATCCCCTTGCACTCCTCTCATGATGCTTAGTCTCTTTCTCGACCTGCCTTGCCCTTGATGCCCATCCCCGTCCGCACCACGCACTTGCTCAGATGCATCTAGCACCTCATCCCCTTCCTCGTCATCCAATAAGCGTCCAATCTGAAGCGAATCCACGGGCTCTTGACCTCTCTTGCGTTTGATGCGCAGGATCACCCCTCCTCCTGGCCCCCCTGCTACTCGCTGCGATAAAGCCGTCCTAGCACTGTTGTCCAGCTCTGCCTGAGCTCTAGCAGCAGCGGCATTAGCCTCGTTGATATGTTCAGAAGGGAGCACATTGCCTTGTCGATGCGAGTGCTCTTCCTGCCCGGCAGGAGAAGGAGGAGGTGAGATCCACACATCGCCTATTCGAGGTGCGGAGATGGGCTTGGGCACCCTCTTCCCGCCCGAAGAAGCTGATGCGGCAGCAGTGCTCGAGGTCGCCATTACGAAGCTAGACCGAGCAG